GTTATATTGTTGCCAACATATTGACAACTGTCTGAGATTTGTCACTTTCTCTCTATATGGATGGTAGAAGTCAGTAATTTTCTCGAGTGTAGATACGGAATTGTGAAGTTCAGAGGGAATAAATCCTGGTTTTTTCTTATATTCTGCAGAGTGCAGAAGGATGTGATAGTATCTTTGGGCTTGCAGAACCCCCTAGTTCTTAAATCTTCATTTAATCGTCCTAATATATATTATGAAGGTCTGTGCTACTGGCTCAACTTTAAGTTTGTGTTCTTGTTTTCAATTTACAAAGTGCAGCATGGGAAAATTGGAATGTATTGCTTGATTGTTCCGTGTTCCATATGTTTATCTGCATGTAAATTAACTAATGTTCTTATATGCATCAAAGGGTATTTAGTCCCTCCTGATTTCTTTTGGACTGGAGTCCCTTTCTCTAAGGGGTGTTATCTGGTAAGGACCTCCTCTGACCCAAAGGAAAATGCTTTAATACAAAAGAATCACTCCTAACTGATAATTACAAAAAACCTTCGAAACAAAAGTCCAAAGAAGTATTAAATCTAATCAACTCCCACAAATTCTCCCAAAATTTCCCCTCTAAAAGTTCTGTTTTACACTCGAGCCAAATTTTCTACAAAATTGCAAAGAAACAAGCGTGCTAGAGAAACCTTCCTTTTTCCCTCAAGGGAAGATACAAAAAGGACCTCCTCAAACTTAGACCAAGAAGCTCAATTCTGCACCTAAGAAACTGTGAGGCCCCCTATAGTAAATACCTATGCTAGGAAGGGCAAAGGGGTAAATTACCCTTAATTGTTTGTAGGCAAGTCTTTTGGGGGAAGTACTTATGTAGTAGTGTTATCCTAGAAAGGTGGTTTTTTTGTCTTGTGGTAGGATTGTCTTGGTAGGAGAGCTCCCAACCCTCTCTAACGGTTGGCCCCCTTTTGTAAACCTTAGGGCTCTTTGTTCTTATTTTGAATACCAGTAAGTAAGGAGATACCTTACAAATTGGTATCAGAGCACTCAATCCTGGGGAGAACGAGAAGCATGGCGCAGAAACAACTTGAGGACCGCTGCGAGAACAATGAGAAAGAGGTAGCGAGTATCAAGGAAAGCTTGGATAGGCTAACTAATCGAATGGACGAACAAGGGAAGGTTGTGACCATGTTGGTCACGGAACTGACGAGTTCGAGGTCTAAGGAAGTAGCGGACGACA